TGCATCTTGGTAGGTCCATAAAGGCAAAACTGGCTTTATGCTGGCTTGGTTTCCTGCAGAGTCAGGGGCACAGTAATACTTTTGGAAGATGCCTACAATGTAAATGGTCCTTGCTTAATGACTTGCTGCTTAGTGTCCATTCAAAGTGCAGTGGATCCCCCAAAAGGTACTTAGGACTCTATTTTAAAGTTCTGAGGGCGGCAAACACACATATACATACAGGGTCACATACGTTTGTGTGTATACTTGGCAACCAGCTTGCATTTACAGCCGTTTGCAGTGTCCCCAGCCATGTGATTGCTCTTCAGTGTTTTTTTTGCTGATTTCCGGGGTTGACTTCTGTTTCCTGGAAAAAAAAACACTCATCCGATATCATGGATCCATTGAATAAACCTAAGCCTTGGCTTAACAACCATGCCATTTTCTCAACGACCACTTCCATAAAGGTCATAACATTGGGCACAGTCACATCTATGAAATCTGTTTGATGAAAAGAAGAACCAGGGGTGACATGATAGCAGTGTTCCAATAGCTCAGGGGCTTCCACAGAGAAGAGGGAGTCAGCCTATTCTCCAAAGTACCTGAAGGAAGGACAAGAAGCAATGGGGCGGAAACTAATCAAGGAGAGAAGCAACCGAGAACTAAGGAGAAATTTCCTGAGAGTTAGAATAATCAATCGGCGGAGCAACTTGCCTCCAGAAGTTGTGGATGCTCCAACACTGGAAGTTTCTAAGAAGAGATTGGACAACCATTTGTCTGAAATGGCACTAGATTTCCTACCTGAGCAGGGGGTTGGACTAGGGGACCTCCAAAGTCCCTTCCAACTCTGTTTATTCTATACTCTTCCACTTCCCTTCCATCTATTGTTTCTTGTGCATTTTGGTGCTTTGGAAAATAGCTTGACCTTCTCGTCTTTGTAGGAACCCCTCAAATATTGGGACACTGCTATCATGTCGCCCTCTGGTCCTTTTCATTAGAGACCTATCCAATTCCTGTAACTATTGTTTGTATATTTTAACTCCAGCCCTCTAATCATTGTTGTTGGTCTTCAAATGTTGTGCATTTGGAGATTGCCAACTTGGGAGTTTTATTGTCATTTTATAAGGAACTTTCAGATGTTTTTATTGACCATGGAGGCTTTAGAGAAAAGATAGTTTTTCTTTATATGGTTATCTGAGCAGGCTCTTTGAAAGCACGACAGCATTTTTATTCATGGCTAGAAGACAGTATATATACTGTCCTTTCTCTAAAGCCTCCATATATATATATATATCATGGTAGACACCTTCTATTTAAATGCACAGTTCCTTTAGGCCAACGTTGGCTTTATCAAAAATGTTCTGTATGCAGTGTTTACATAACTGTGGTGGATGGTATGAAGAAACAGAGCTGTGGCATTGCCTTAAATATTTCCAGACAAGGGGAAATTTAAACGAGAGCTTTTATCACCAAACTGCAGATAATGTCATGTTTCAGAAGCCAGATCCGAGAGAAAAGCCAGTGAGGTTTATAGAAGAGCAGATTGCATTTTTAAGTAACTTAAAATAGTGTATTGGTATCATTTGACATATTCTCACTGCAGGCAAAGAAACAACAACCGTGCCCAGGAGCATTTATGCTAGAAAGCCCAGTAGAAAAGACTAGAAGGATATGGCCCCATTGAGTGATGCCCTGTTATTGCAATGAGGGTCAAAAATAATACAAAGCAGAGCAATCTCATCTCCACAATGTTTTTTTTTTGTTTGCATGGTTTTTTTCTCTTGTTGACTTTTTAATTCTTTCTTTAGAGAAACGATACCATCCACTTTTAGAGATGAGAAGGTACAAATTTAATGAGTACCATTTTTGTTGGTTAAAAAGATGTTTGTGGATCATGTTTTATCAGAGAATACATTGATTTCCAATACGTTGTTTTCTCAAACACTCATTGTGTTCTCTTAATTGTCCAGTTTGAACATAATGGTTAATTGTGGTCCCACCCCACACCCAATGTGGATGAATTGTGGCGAGTTGTATCTTATACTACAGCGTCTCCTTTGCCTTTCAAGTTATGCTGAGGTGACAGTTTCAAAGCCAACGTAAGAGTTTAATTTTTAAGGTGCGATTAGATTTATTGCCAGTGTTTGCTGCAGCAGACTGATATTATTTGATAGATTTATATTCTTACTTTTCTCCAAGAGCTCAGGGTGACATATATGGGAATAATCCTTCATTTAATGCCGACAGGAAAAACGAGTGAGGTTGGTTGGATGAAAAGACCGGCCTAAAGGAAGCCAGTGGATTTCTACAGAGGAAGATAGAATTTTGATCTTTCATCTCCTAGTCCAGTATCTTAACCACTGCATCATATTGATTACCAATATGAAAACTCTTAAAATAAACTATGAAAATAAACTATTCACCTCAGGTGGTCCTCAACTTACGGCCACAATTCAGCCCAAAATTTCTGCTCTTAAGTGAGACATTTATTAAGTAAATTTTAAGACCTTTCTTACCACCGTTGTTAAGTGAATCATTGCAGTTGTTAAGTTAGTAGCATGGTTGTTAAGTGAATCTAGCTTCCCCATTGACTTTGTTTGTTAGAAGGTCACAAAATATGATCACATGACCCCGGGACACCGCAACTGTCATAAATAATGCCACTTACCAAGCGTTTGAATGTTGATCGCGTGACCATGGAGATGCCAAAATGATTGTGTGAAAACTGGTTGTAAGTCACATTTTTCAGTGCCATTGTAACTTTGAACGGTCACTAAACGAAGTGTCGTAAGTCGTGGGCTGGTTTCCTTTTCTATCACTAGCAATTTAACAGGATCTTGTATAGAAAAAAGACGCTTCCCCACACAGCTCTTTTGCTCCTCTTTAACCAGTGGAGGAATTATGAAAGTGAGATACACACGCCACCATTGTGGCAACTAGTGTTTGGGGTGTGTGTGTCCCCCCCCCCAGTGAGTCTGGTCTATCAGGGCAACCTGGTTCACCGAAATATGGGACGGAGCATACTGCTTCCACTTTTGCCTTTCAGCCCCAATCCAGGGGCCTTCGCAGACAGCCGCTTTAGTGAACAAATTATTTTTGCGTTGAATTTCTATTTACCGACAAAGAAATAAAAGGGATAAACTGGGTTGGCGAGAGCTAGCTAGTGTCAACTATAAAGACCATTCCAGTTGGGGGAGAAGGTCTATCTCTCCACCAAATATATGAGGTTAAGACTTCCTAGCCAGAAATTGGAGCCAAAGTTCATGAGATCATTCCCCATAGTAAAGGTCATCAACCCAGTCATGGTGCATTGAAGTTGCCCCGATTGCTAGGGAAAATGTATCCAGTATTCCATAGAAGCCTATTAAAACCCGTGGTTAGGATCAACGCTGAGGCCCCTATCTCGTGAGCCCCCAAATCCCATGGTCATAGGAGGTCAAGCCCATTAGGAGGTGCAGCGAATCCTCAATTCGAGGTGGCACAGGAGACAGCTCCAATATTTAATCAAGTAGAAGGGCTACCCCTTATCAGAGGCACCATGGGTAAAGAGTAGGAAAGTCCAAGCCGGTCGCCTTCTGGCAAGGCTCCATGCAGAAAATCCAACCAAGCCTGGGGTGTGGGGGGGTTCGTGATCATAAGCTTCCATATCTACAATCAATTTGTTTTTGTGTGTGTTGTACAGGTCACGCTCAAGAAATGAGGGGAGCCGAATGTCAACTCATAAAACATTTGTATGCACGTTTTATAGTTGTCAACAGAAAGAAAGGGGGGTGGGTTAGCTTGAAATCTATGCTAGTCTCCCTTTATTTCTTTGTCAGTAAATAGAAACTCAACGTTGTGGCGACAGTTTTCCCTCTGCTGAACTGTTCAATTTTTTAAGATACTTTAAGCTGAGTTTGATGGATGGGTGTGACATTGCAGGGCCATTTGTGGATTTGATATGGCAGGCTGGGTGGCATCAGAAGATTGAGCATCACTGACCTAATCCTGTGATGACACTTGACCCTGCCACCTGATGTTACCGCTCTGTGGAGAAAGGACAAAACAAGCAGTCATTCCTCACTCATGTTTGGCTTCCCCCCAAAAAAATCTTCTTCTAGTAAATGTCTTCTGCCATTGGACAAAGCTGTCCTTTCCTGCGTAGGGAAGACAGTGGCCTTAGCTCTCTTTTTGGAAGTGATGGAAGGGAAATGTGGCCCAAAGATTCTTCTTCAAAAGGCCAAGGACTTTGTTTTTGGTTTTTTTTCCTTTGAAGATGTTTCGCTTCTCATCCAAGAAGCTTCTTCATTTCTTCGGTTCCAGAACTGAGGAAGCTTCTTGGATGAGAAGAGAAATGTCTTCAAGGAAAAAAACCAAATCAAAGTCATTTTTAAATCATTTTTTAAAAAGCACCTTTGGGAAACCGAGACCTGGTGGTCTGAGAATCTCCAGAAGCAAAGCAAAGATGGATTACAGGCAGACTGGGTGATCCTTCAGCCACCCACCGTTTTTCTATATCCCACCGTGCCATGTTGAAGATTGATAATGAGGAACACGTGAAATGGAGCTGTGGTGGGATGCCAAGCTTATAGGATGGGAAGCTACCTTATAGGGAGCCCTGGTGGTGCAATGGTTAAAGTGTAGTATTGCAGGCTAATTCTGCCCACAGCCTGGAGTTCGAACCTGGCGGGTCTCAAGGTTGACTCAGCCTTCCATCCTTTCAAGGTTGCTAAAATGAGGACCTCTAATGTTAGGAGCAATATACTGATTCTTTAAGCCGCTCAGAGAGGGCTGTACATCACCATGAAGCAGTATATAAGTCTAAGTACTAGTGCTATTGCTACCTAACTGGACCTCCATTTGGCTTAGCTATGTTGGTGTGGTCTTGACTCAATGGACTACAGGTAGACCATCCCTAGCACGGTGATTTTTCACACTTCTACACCTACAGATAAGGTAATCAGGCTGGAACTTTGAGAATCCATGTAACTCTCTCCTTTTTTCCTATTCACTATATTTATTTATTTATTTTTCTTCTACAGGATTGTTGAAGTTCATTCACCGGATGCCAAGCACATCTTGGTGCTAAGGAGTAAAGACGCGAGCACCGCCCAGGCCTGGTTCTATGCCATCCACTCCTGTATCAGCGAGCTCATTCCCAAAGTGATCTCAGAGGTCAAAGATCAGCTGGGTAAAGCAGGACTAGCCGGAGGCCGAGAAATTAGGCACTTGGGTTGGCTGGCAGAAAAGGTAGAGGCATTTTTTTCCTCTTGTCTTCAAGAGCCCCCCTGCATGTACTTGAATTCTCAGGACTTTTAGTTGGGTATTAAAGAATCAAAGAGGTTAATTAGCTTTAAGTATTTGAATTACGTATGTGCCACTCCTACAACTTAATTTGGACTGGCTTTAAAGTAATCCCACAGCTTTCTTGTATGGAACCTCCATGAGGGATATTTAACTTTGCTAAATACAGTGGAACCTTGGGTCGTGAAAAGTCCAAATCAGGTGGCAAACAAAAAATTCACCCTATTTTTGAATCGGATCACGATTCAGAATTTGGGTGGCGAACAAAATCTCCATGAAAAGATTCACTTTCTGCGCCCATTTCCCCTTGGGCCACCATTTTTTTTAGTTCACGCATGTGCAGTCGGTCATGCTTTCAGGACACAACCAAATCGGGTCGCCACCGGAGTCCGGGAACGGATTATGGTCACGACCCAAGGCTCCACTGTACCTGATTGAGGTATTTGCTTTCACTCTGTAAAGATAGATGCCTTAAAAGATTAATTGAAACAAACCATTTGGCCATTGGTCCCCTAAATGTTCATTCATGATAACCCTAAACATATACAAAGGATGAGCATTTCCTCCAATTCTGGTCCTGACCTCACCTGATTCACCTCCCCTGTTAACATTTTGCATGGGGAGTGGGATGTTTTTGTCCTGACCAGTTGTATTTGCATAACAGTTGGGATGTCTGCATTAGCTGGAAGACCCATGGCATGAAACGTCTTCATATAAGAAGAGACTAGACAGCCATTTGTCTGGAATGGTACTATAGGGTGAACTGCTTGGGGAATCTGCAAGGTACCTTCCAACCAACCCTGTTATTCTGTATTGTGTATATACAAAATTGTTTGCAGGCAAATGTTTCGATCAAGGTATAACTGTTTTTAGAATTTCTACATCAGGGGTGTCAAAATGGATTTTGTTGAGAGCCGGACTAGCATTGTAGTTCTCTGCGGGACGCCTCGTGCAGCACCCTGCTGGCCAAAAGGCATAGCAGGGGTCACGCAATGCTCCCTCTGCCCCATTTTCAGGCTCCCTGGCCTCCAACAGCACCCTGCCAGCCAAAAATGGGCCATGCAGAGCACTGCAGGCCGGTCCTTTGATATTTCCAGCTGTGGGCCTTGAGTTTGACACCCCTGTTCTACATGATATAATCATGACAATTTTCTGCCTACTTACTATTATAAATGATTATCCACAAATGCAAACAGAGAAAAAACAATGAATATGGCAAAACCTGGGACCCTCTTTTTGGTCAATGCCTTCTAACACTTTCTTTTACGGCCATGATAGCCTCTTAACCACCTGTTATAATTCTTTCCATTCTTGTTTTGGAATCCCTCTTCCAAGGTGCAGAAGACTTCTTAGCCTTTCATGTTTGAGATCTCCCCACAGTGATTGACCATCTCCTTGATCTTACTTTACATAGCTGTTTTCAGAGCATGATATGATATTTACTAGATGGCTCCTAGATGTCTACTGGCAGTTCTGAAAAAGCCTCAATTCTAAGCAACCTTATGAGGCCCTATATGTTTTTTAAAAAATTTTTAATCATAAAGAGCATCTTGAATTCTTCAAGACTTCTTCACTAATTTTGGCAGACACATATATAGGCTCTTATTTATTCATTACCAGCTAAATTTCACTTTTCCTCAAGGTACATAAGGCACGATGTATTCACTCTGAGAGATTCCAGATGGCTAAGAAGAATAAAAACCCAATATAAAAACAATAAAAAAGCAATAACCCCCCACCTTCCTGGTGACAACAATCAAATGAGACATTTGATGGCCTCCATCCTACTGTGGGGTCTCAGGCCCCTTGGCACAAAACCAGGTCTTCAGGACCTTGCAAAAGAATGTCAAAGTGGGGGCCAATCTTATATCCATAGAGATGATATTATGTATGGCGGGAACCACCACAGAGAAGGCCCTTCTTCTTGATCCTGCTAGGTAGGCCTCAGTGGTGGTATGCTACCAGTTTGGCCCAGTTGAGCTGAACAGGTAGTTTAAAAAAAGCCTCTGATGACCAGCTGAGAGGAGGAAAAAAAAAAACCCTCCAACGATCAGCTGAGAGGAAAAAGAAGAGAAAAGTGCAAGATCGATCCTCCCATCCCCGCCGTGCTTTTCTTTATCCTCTTAGCTATTTGGCGCTGCAGGCCTCAGCTGGTGTGTGGAAAGCTGCACACGTGCGTTAGGTGCGTGCGCGTGCACAATCATCACCAAACCAAACAGTAGTGGAACAAGTAGGGATCCCACTGCTGGTGGGCCTGCTTAAGAGAAGCGACCCATAGCATTTCCTGCGTCCCCACTCCGATGAGTCAGGTAGAGGTGACTGGGAAAAATTGGACTTCAAATAACCTGGTCCTGAGCCACGTAGGGTTTTGAAGGTGACAACCAACACCTCGAATGGTTCTTCTTGTCCTCATATCAATCCTGTAAACTGGGTTAGCCACTATTGCTCATTAAGATCCATGTCCAAGCGAACCTCCCACGAAATGTAAGAAGCACAAGTTAATTTCTGTTGCCATGCCACAGTCTATGCACCAATTAAGAATTGGACTGTATCTGATGAATTCTAGTTGGACAATGTTTATAACGTATTAGCCTTTAAGATATGAACGAAGAATTTACTGCCTCCAGAAAGATATAAGTTACAGCTGATGGGAGCAGCATATGGAGAACTATTGGTTGCCTACCTTGGAGCTAAGATGTTTTATTATGTTTGTTGCCAAAATTGTGACCCTTCCAGAAATAGCATATTGTATAACTGATATCTGTAGGATTTTTTCAATGTAAAATACTGACCTTCTCATAAGAAAACATAGGGTTTGATTCATACAAAATGTATCTGTCTTTATTATTACCCTATAAAATAGAATACACTCTGGTTATATAAACGGACCGAACACTGTGAATTTTAACAAGTTTTTTTTTTTAATGGTGCATTTATTATATCTTATGTAACGTGGATGGCTTTTCAGGGATTTGCAGTTTGAGCTGGATAATAGTAAAGTTTTGAGAGAAACTTCAGGGATTTTCAACTGTTCTTATTGCTCTGAGTCTCTGGATTCAGCATTCTGACAAAACAAAGTTTGCCTTTATTCCTTGAGATTATTTTAGAAGGCAAGGAACTGGATGGTACACAGAATTTGAAAAGTGATGCCAGGGGGGACGTGAGCGACCTTTATTAGGTATGCATTCTATGTGTCTGAAGATCAACTTAAATGACTGGTGCCACTCAGATCTTTTTAGAGGTCACCTTTGGTAGGTAGACTTTATGAAGAAACATCAAGAGTGCATTTCCTACAAGATGAAAGGATTGGGGAAGGAAGAAAAGTTGATTGGTTGGTTGTATTTTTTTTTTATTAGTCTAGCATTAATCATAGAATCCAGAATCAAAGTGTAGAATAGAAGAATACAATCGTGGTAATTAAAAGTTTTACAGTTTCTCGTCCTCATTATTTAGGTAGTGACTAGAAAACAGATTATTAAAATTGATTTTATAGATGTTCTAGGGCTGGGCCACATTACATTTCTTCAACCATTTGTGGGTCACTTCCAAGAACCAGGTGAAAGAGAAATTTAATAAAATTATTTTAAATATAATTAAAATTACATTAAATAAATGTAGTTAACTTGTTTATTACAAATGAAGGTGGATATACGTGTCCCAGGATAATGTTGCAGGATCCAATCTGGGTCGGTCACTGGGATCAGAAGTTTAGTCTTCCGAGCTTTTGGACTCGTGCTGGAGCCCATCTCCAGGGAATTTCTCTCTAGCAGAGTGTGTGCTGTTCTGTGTGTGGCATTTATAGTGTCTGTTGTAAATGGCTTTTTAGATGTTTATTGGGGTATGTTGATGGCTGGCTTTTAAGTCATGAGCTGTTGTTTGCTTCTGCTGCCCAGCCCTCATCTTCTAAGTACTTGATAGGCTGGTAGTAAAATCAGCATTCCTGTTGATTGATAAGGGGCCTGTTTCCCGGCTTCAATCACTTCCCTGGCTGTTTTTGTGCCTGCTCGTCCAACAATCTTGGTAACTGCAAAATGGAATATGTGTCCTTGTTCATTACAGTGTGTAAGGCTACCAATGAGTTCTGGTCTCCTTGTCTGACCACTTACTTGCTTTGTGTTCTTGCAATCTGGTGGTTAGTTTCTTCCCTGTCTGTCCTTCATAGTCACAGAGGGAATCAATACAGGGGATCAGGTAGATTACTTTGGAAGTATCTCCCACCTACAAATGATCTTTACAATGCATAATTTGTTCTCGTATGATGGAGGGAGGGAGGAAAGGAAGGAGGGAGGGAGGGAAGGAAGGAAGGAGGGAAGGAAGGAAGGAAACCATGCTGGTAGGTTAATTGAGGGGATTGTTCACACAATGATACAGAATGCAGATTTATGGCTTGTGTGATATAATCAGCAGGAGAAGGAAGCAGGCCTCCCTTGTTCTTTTATAACTTTTTTTTTTCATTTTTAGATGAACTACATCACTGAGAAAATTTGTGACCTGTGAAATAGGAAGAACTTAAATACTAGGCAGGTCTTCATCTAAACTATAGATTAATATTTTTTAGACAAGACCAATGAATTCCACATTCCCTTTTCTCCTTAAGAACAGCCAAGATGAGAAGTTTAGAAGCATATGCTTCTTGATCTAAAAATAGAACTTGGCCTAAAAATAAACCATTGTTTGCTTGATGGTTTTTATGACTTAGCATAGAAGTAAGCATTCTTTGGGGGCCAATGCTGCATTGTACATTTGTCAACAGTTGAAGCTCAAAAGAAGAGTGAAGCATCCTCACCCACATCAGAAGATCTGGGTTTGAAGAGAGAGTTTGATCATTTATTTTCCCTTTCTTTTTAATGGTGAATAAGCTTATTTTAGGGCGCATTCGCTACATTTTTTTATAATTTGTCCCCTCAAAAAGGGCAGGAAAATATGCATTCAGTTTCTCATAATCA